CTTTTTTAATGTGGCTAAAAAGTTTGTTTACATGTGAGTGGGCGTGTCTCTGCTCTTAGTCTTACGTGTTTTATTTGATTCTAACGTTATGTTTTGATTCAAAGCGATTCTCTTAAAGATGCAAGCATGTGAAACATCTTGTCCCTTTCTGGATTAACGTCTTACTGGTTCTGTCAGGCAGTTCAGTGATGTCTGTTTTCTTTTATTACATCATCTATTTTTAGTGCATAATATGTCTTATAGACACAAATAGTCACTCCGGGTTTCTTTTTTTTAAAATAAAATAAAGAGCCATCAGTAAGGTTCTGGGCCATGTGAAGTTAAGGTTGACTAGCAGCTAGATCTTTTTCACAATGGGCAAGAAATGTCTTTATCAAACTGAAACAATGTACTTTTTATTGTTTTGTTTTATTGAATGTTGTCCAAAAACACCTTAGTAAAGGTTTTGTTGCAGTTATCACTACACTGAGTAGAAAAACAATTGACTAGGTTACAAAACAACATTTAAGTTCACTTATTTTATCTTTAGTGAGTCCAGAGTTGTCACAGTTGTTTTACTAATGTCCAAAATTAGACTTACTAGCAATAGAAGGAGCTTTAGTTTAAGTGCTGTATATGGTCTCCTTTAGTTCTTAAAATCAATATAAACCAAAGTTTAATACCGACATAAGAAAACACGACTTATAATTTAGTATACTTTTTAAAAAAGTGAACATATGAATGAAAAATACAGTTTCCTGTTCAAATGTCACAAGGGAAAGTTTAACTCGATTTAAAAAATACCAGTACATGTATTCATCATTTGTTTGACTGAATTTGCTTTATCAAGAGCTCCATTGCATTCCTACACCTAAAGGCTGAAAAACTCTGGAATTTTTTTCCCTATGGCTCATCCTGATTTAATTTAATGCCAAACTCATATATCTAGGGGGGGGGGGGGGGCAGGGGGGGGGTTGGGTTTGGGATTCGGGAGGAGAAGCAGGGGGGGTGGTAATGGGAGGTTCCCATGACACCCACATCTTTTCATACTTCTTTTTAAAAGTTCTATAGGGCCTAAACGCTTTTTTTCGGTTAGTAAAAAAAAAAAAAGAGGAAATATACCAGTTGTCATTTCTGTTTGGTAAGAGTTTTACAGCACTTGCAGCTTCATACAGTCGTTGTTTTGTCACTCTTCCAGATTCTACATCAACATTTCACCGCTTGGTATGATATCATACTCGCCAAGCGCTTGCTCCTTGGCAAGGTCAAGGCCATGTCAGACTGGAAGCTGATGGTGAGAGTGTGGGGGGCCTGGAGGTCACACGTCAGAGGTCGGCAAGTTGACCTTGAGACAGAAGTTCATGAGAGGAACGTGATTGACACGCAGAGGTGAGTGTTGCTGGGATGATGGGGATGGGCTGAATGTGTCTACTAGCTTGCAAATAGAATCTCCATCTCATCTTCCTTCCTTCCTTTCTTTTTCTGTGTACCCTGATAGAATTCAAGGAGTAACTGACTGTAACATAATAATACTCATCTCACAATGGAGTTGATTTTTATTTACATGGCTGTTTTATCTACAGTATAGCACGCACATAGTGAAATCTGCGGCATATGACAAACGTTTTGTTATGCACAAAGTTCAGGCTATATATTTATGTATTGGAACTTAATTATATATTAAAAGATTCAGTACCTGAAAAATCTGTTTGTAATGCTTGTGTTAGACTGTACGCAGAATGTAGAATCATTCCTTGACATGCCAACACCTTACATACTGATTGAGTCTTTCTCTCTCTCTCTCTCTCTCTCTCTCTCTCTCTCTCTCTCTCTCTCTCTCTCTCTCTCTCTCTCTCTCTCTCTCTCTCTCTCTCTCTCTCTCTCTCTCTCTCTCTCTCTCTCTCTCTCTCTCTCTCTCTCTCTCTATTTCTCTAATTTACAATCATTACACAACTCAAGCTGGAGCAAGCAAAAATCAAAGATTTCGTCCACCTGTCCCTTATCGCCACTTTCTGTACCGTAGCCTGTCTCCCGCTAATCGCAGTGAGTGCGCCTCCCTCTCCCCATGACTCGTAAACACTAACTCTTTCGTAATGCCATTATTATTTATCGGTCGTCCTCTCAACGAAAAGCCGGCTGTGGGTTCCTGGTACAGCGCGGCGATAAGTCGCTTTAGCAAAATCCGGATAATTTGTTAGTGCACCTCTTCGGCGAATAATAATATGATATGAACCGCTTCGGCAAATGGGTTAGAACCACTTCCACAAACGGGTTAGCATCATTTCAACAAATAGGTGCACCCACTTCGGCAAACGGGTCCGGAAAGGGAGTTAAAGAGTCAGAATTCGGACAATGTTTCATTGATAATTATCCGGTTATCCGGATAGATCATCCGAATTTAGCCCACCTCAAGTTCCTGGTGCTGCTGCTGCTGCTGCAGCTGCCACTGGTAAGCTAATCTCTCAGTCTGCACCACAGTGAGAGAGTGCCGGTGGCTGTCTGCCCGTCGGCCGTCTCTACTACTGGGCTTTTAATCCAGGCCCTTGAGCTAAACCGTTCTATTGTAAGTCATTTGTTTTGCAGCTGGACCCTTTTGACTTTGACCACGCGTAATAGTGATCAGCAGATCTTCCAGGGTTGATTACAAGGAGGTGTTGGAGCGGACGGAAGCTATTAATCCTTTCACACACGATGGCGTTCGTGTTTATAAGCTCCCTTTTGTTACGTCAAAAGCTATCGAAAGAAAGAATAAATAAATGAATAAACAAACAGACAAACAAACAAATAAATAAATATAAAAAATAAAGTAAATAAATAAATAAATAAATAAATAAATAATAAACTTTTAAAAAAAAATTTCTTTCTTATTTTCTTTCTTTTTATCCAGTCTATCTATTTACGTATTTATCTATTTCATACATTCGTTCGTTCATTGTTTTATTAATCTATCTATTACAGAAGTTTGTAGATACTGTTCCTGTGACTGTATGTATGAGCCGTTACTCAATCTGTGATCCTGTCAGTAACTGAAGGTCTTACATGTTAGTGAGTAAGCATGTGTCTTTCTCATATTGTCTCGCATATTCTAGCCCTTCTCCCCAGATGTTTTAATCACTTATGTTTAATGTGTTTTTCCATAGGTTACCTGAAGGCTTTACGCAGCTGTCGAATCTAACCCATCTTTTCCTGAATGACACGTTCCTTGACTACTTACCTGGAAGCTTTGGAAGGTGAATATTATTATAATATTTAGTGGGGATTCCCACGTCTTTTGGCTCAATCAACCAAGCTTTTTTTTTCGTTGTCACTGTGTACAAATCAAATGGTTTAGATTGTCTTAACTTTCATTCCTGTCTAGCACGCTGTTCTCTCTCTCTCTCTCTCTCTCTCTCTCTCTCTCTCTCTTTCTCTCTCTCTCTTTCTCTCTCTTTCTTTCTCTTTCTCTCTCTCCTCCCCCTCTGCCTCTCCCCACCTATGCCTCTCTCCACCTCTGTCTCCCCCCGTTTGTCTCCCCCACCCCCCAG